ATTTATTAAAATTCCACATAAATTAATTTTAATCAATTGTTTACAAAAATGGTGCCCAACCTACAGTTCTCATGCCAAATCCAGTCTTTGGTACGTGTAAAGTTGGCCCGCAAACATATTTGACAAATCTTGAAAATAAATTTTAAGGAAATTGAATTATTGAATATGAATTATTTGGCTAATGATTTACAGTCTGTAATATGAGTTTAATTGAGTAACTATTACTGTTATAAATGACTGAAATAGGTCTACTTTTTATATATATGGAATATGAAAATACTTGTGGTCACTTACCGATGATTTATGCACAATATGGCCCACCAGTCAAAACATTTGGACAACACTGGTTTTCAAGGTAGCAACATCATCTGTATTTGTCATCATCCAAATTTTATATAATTTGATTGAATTTAGCCTTAAAAATAGTCTATAAATAAACTGACTCTTTGATTTAATATGTATAATTCAGAACAACCTATAATTTGTATTTTTTGTTTAAATGATACTTATGTAATGATGATTAAAATCTGTTTAAAACATACAGTAAGACCCCACTTAACGCAGCTTTGATATAATGCAGTCTGCTCAAAGCCTAAGAAAAAGCTCAAAATTTATGCTGATTCAAATTATTGTGGCATTTCATTGATTCATATATAATATGATTATTTATGAACATGAACCAATCAACAAAAGGTGGAAATTTGTCGTAGCACTGTACTTCCCTTAAATCTATGTTTGTTTGGTGCAATTTTAGAAAAAATATAACATCAAGGATGCCATAGGCAATAGCGACTTCACTTGGCAAGGATTAACTGATAAATGCATGAATGAAGTGTGGAAGAAGATTAGGCCAAATGTATCCAAGAATACACAATGAGAAAAGCCTACTGTTGACCAAATTGCCCACCTAATTGATACAGCAGGACTAGGAGATGTAGGTGAGCAGAATACTGAGGAGTTAGTGTGAAGGTTATTGTTGGTAAGCCTTTCACCAGAAACCTGCAAGATACTGCAAGTTTCTGGTTATTAAGATGTTGGTAAGGCTTGGTGAAAGCCGTACCAACAACAATCTTCAAAAATTGACAGAACAAGGAATTCATGTAGAACTGGAAAATAGTGATTCTGAAAATAAAGAACCCAAAGAATTTCTCTACAGATTTCCTTAGTATAAGTTTGGTAATGATAACTGAAATAGCTGATCAAATTGTAATGAATGATCCAGATTTTGAAAGGAGTGCAAAAGCAAGACGAGACATTTTGGATGTGATCTCTTGCTATTGACATTTGCTTAAGGAAAGAAAAGAAAGCAACAAATGAAACTACACGACTTTATTGCAAAAACAAGAATTTCAGATGAGCCAGGACCTTCATCACAAAAAATGAACTTTATATTTCTGTGTGCATATGTTTGTGTTATTTAGCATATATTATGCAAATTAATATAAAAATAATTTAAAATTAAAGTAAAATCTGTTTATTTTTGGTCACGTGTTCCCCTTTCCCTATTTACTCTGTATGTTAAAATGACCTCGTTTAACGATGTTTCATTTAGCACTTTGTCATCTAGGAACTCATCCCCTGCGTTAAGTAGGATCTTACTGTAGTCATTATAAAAATTAAATGATACTGTAATATCATTTATCTTTAAAAATTTAAATATATCAATATAAAATGCATCCATTTGAATATATTTAAATATTTCAGTAAATATATTTGTATAAATAGAGCTTTACAGAACAAGCATATAACTTTGATGTAATTTAAAGAAGAGTAATATTAGTAGTAAATTTATTTAATAGTTAGGACAAAGGTCTATTAAAGAATGAAACTTATAGCAACAAAATGATAGCAACTTCAGAATAAGATTATGGATNTCCAATTTGGAACGATAAAGAAAAGCCTGAGGATGGCCTATCCAAATAGGCCGAAAACGTTTGAATAAAGAGAAAAAAAAAAAACTCGGCAAGTAGAATTCAGGTGTGTTCATATTTATATTTAACATTGCTGAGAAGGAGAGAGATAATTATAATTCTTGCTTTTAATTAGTTTCTGCTCATATGATTATAATAATAATGAAATATTGTAAAATGAAAAAAGAATTCAAATAATTCAAGTTCATAGACTAGCTCCTAGACTAGTCTGTGAAGTAGAGTAGATAAGTAGACAGACTAGTTTAGTAAAAATAAATTGAATGAACTAATTTTTTCATCTAATTGTGTGAGAGAGAGGTTCAGAACAGATAGAATGATTGAAATGATATATGTTTTATTGTTACAAAAGATTAAATATATTATAGTTGAGATTAATACAAAGATTGATCATCAGCTTGTAATGGTAAGATAACAAACAAAACTAGACAGAATGATGAATAGAACTGGATTGATATCAAATAAACATAAACATAAAGAAAGATATCAAATAAACATAAAGATGTTAAATTAATTGGAAACTGAGAGAGATATATTATGCTCTTTTCAAACTACAGTTAAATAATAATCAAACATCGACGAAAAAACCTTTAAAATGCAGCTTTTTATTAACTAATTTATTAACTAATTTATTAACTAGTTAATAAAAAGCTGTGTTTTAAAGGTTTTTTTTGTCAATGTTTGATTTTTATATCTATGATAATGAATATCTATGTAAATTAAGGTAATCTACATGTTTGGCCAGTTAGTGTAGAAATTTTCTGTCATCAAGTTGTCCAAATTCAACTTGAGTTATTTCAGATAAAATTCTTTAGAAATTAAAAAGTTGCTTTAAATCTAATCATAGCTTGCTAAATATATATACGTGTATAAATATAGCAGAAATAAAATTCTGCTAGAGTTTTATCATTGCCTGATTTATATACTTTTGTATTAAAGTGAAAATAATTTTAAATAATTACAAGAATTAAAGTACCATATTATTATCAATGTTAATTTATTAATAAAAATAGTAATTAAAAGAATTCTTCATTGTCTATATACATATTTTTAATTTACATTATTTTTCTTTAGAAATTAATTTGTTCTAATTTTTCTTAAAAATTAACATTTAGTCCTGATTCTGGAATTATAAACACAATGTATTCTTGGTAATTAAAACTAATTAATGCTAAGAGCATTTATATAAATGATTTTGGAATTAATAATAAAAAAAATTGAATAAAATTTCAGGTATTTAAAATTAATGCTGAATTATTTATGAATACTCTTGCATATTCTGTAAAATAAGGATTAATTTTTGTTTTGCAGTGAATGCGCATATGAAAATACGCAGAGAGTGATGTATATTATTCTCTGCATAATTTCATATGCCCATTCATTTGACCAGATAGTATGAAATATTTTATATTATCTCTTCAGATTTCAGTTTGAATTATTTAAGGTTTAGATCACCAAGAATATACTTTATTAATTTTAATTGTTATAGATTCTTAATTCATTTATATTATACATAAGTAAATTTTTCTGCATGATTAAATTATTTAGTTATAATTATTTATCAATTGTAAAGTTTTTCAACTAGATTTAATTAAAAAAGTATAAAACTGTATAATCAAATATCATCATTATTACTGGTACTTTTGAAATAAAAGATGACCTATAATTTTAATAATAATGATGAGGAAACTTCTGTCTTTAAAAGTTCTTTAATTATATATTATAACACAGAAAATGTAAAAATAATAAATGCTGACTAGTACTTCCGACATATTAATCTTATTGTCATCAGACACCTGAATCAAACAAATTGGAAACTCAAATATAGTCCTTTTAAAAAATTGTATGTGGTTTATAATTTAATATTACTTATAATTTTTTAATAGTTTTTACTGTATATATTATTAATATTATATAAACATTTTAAATAATAATTTATATAATATGAAGAGATAAAAATCACTTTTTATTCTTAAATTAATGAATTTGAGATATTTTGAATTACAGTTTAATGAAGTCTGCAATGTAAAATTATATTTTATTATATGAAATTTTTTTGTTGAATGTGTACGTAAATCAAACTTAAAAAAAAAAAATACTTCAAAATTATGAAAATGAAAAATGCACTTTTATTTCTTCATATTTACATTTTCTTTCAAATAAACTGACTCATTTTTTAATATTTAAAAACTAAATTTGTGTTCATTATGGTTTTTATTCTAAAAAATATCAAAATAGTATTCTAAGATATTAGTTTATGAATCTCAAAATGAATAGGATGGCCCTGAAGAGTTTGTTTTTATGAATACCATATACAAGCACTTAAAAATAAATGAAATATATACAAAAATAAACATTGCAGAAATGGATGATTATTATGGAGTTATAATGTTGTATTATCTACTTTTTTGGATACTTCTGACTTTTTTAGACTATGTAAATATAAAGAACATTTTTCTCATTAACAAAACATAAATGACCAAATGTATCTAGGCATTTTCTGTATATTTAAACAATTTAAATATCTACAATAATTTCTTGTTTTCAAACTGATATTCTTGAAATTTTATGAATTTATCTAAAATTTTAATTTGCAAATTTATTTAAAAGATAGTGAAAATTATCTTGATTCAAACTTCATAATTCCAATAAGTCAGTTTATTTGAGGCAGATATCAATTGTTTTACTCGCTTAGTTATCAAAAACAACTATTATATATTATTGATTACAATAAAAATTTATTAATAAATATTTACATGATATTTTATGTATTTCAGAGATACCCAGAATATTATAAAGTTATTCATGATCCAATAGATTTAAAAATGATTGCCACAAAAATTCAAAATAATAGCTATCAAACATTAACAGAATTTGAAAGGGATTTGCTATTAATGGTGAAAAATGCAAAAACTTTCAATGAGCCAGGATCACAAATTTATAAAGTATGTACAAAAGAAAATGTTTTTATGTAATGTTTTCAGTATAAAGTAAATTTCTAAACTATTTTCAATTTCAATCATTATATGTAACTGTTGAGATATATTTACTCCATTTATCATTAAAAATGAAAAACAAATTAATAAAAACACTTAAAATCTTTCAATAATTCAATTATTCATTAAGAATAAATGCTTTACTGAGTTTTAAAATTCCATCTTCAGATTGATTTGAACAGAATGTAAAGATAATACAATGTTGAATGAAGATTCTTTGTTAAATAAAATGTTTTATTAGTAAACAAAAATTACACTAGTTCTTGTTATATTGATTGTTTGGATATATTGCATTTTCCCCCCGTCTTTCAAATATAAAAGCACTTTGGCTAATTTTAAAAAATTGGTTGTTTTTGAATTTCTACTGACAAAGAAATATTATTTTATTCCAATCATTGACCTTAAACTAGCATTGTTTGAAATTAACTCATTAGAAAGAAAAGTTGGTATGAAGATTGAAAATAGACAAAATAGGATAGGTTATATTGTGCCATCTGATATATTGCTCATTTGGTTTGTTTTTTGACATGTGTGATATAATGAAGGATTACTGTAATATTAATTAATAACAAACAAAAATGTTAATTTAAAAATAAATAGATAGATATTTTCAAGATTATCAGTCTTATATTAACAATCAGATTCAAAATCAATTTTTTTTCTTTTGTTTATGATGATTTTCATGTTTGTGGCAGTAGACAGTTCTGTCCCAATGGGAAGGTGGTTTTTGTATCAGCATTTATAAGTTTTGACTTATGCCACATTCATCTTTCTCCTTTTTACAACTATTTTATGTTTTTTTTATCTTGTTTTTAAAGAAATTACTAAAGTACTTCCTATATAGCAGATGCAGTTTTAGTTATTTTCATACTGTATTGAGATTTTATATACTTTACTTTTACAATCAATATCAATTGGTTCTTTCTTACTTTTAATTAGATTGTATGTTATGCATGACTGTCAATATTCTCATTTTATTTCTTATAAAATATGGACTCACAAGTTTAGTAATTTGTAGGCTAGTCACTTTGATGTATTTTGAATTTTTAACATTTTTCCTTTCTTTTTTATCTTTAAGGCTCTTCTTAATTGTATCTTGCATATTCCAAAACAGCATATTCACAATTCCACAGTTTAATATCTGATTTCTGATAACAGTTTTTCATTAAAAATATGAGAGAGTTGACATTAAACTGGTAGTGATCTTAAAAATATATATTTGTTTTTAAGAAATTTTAAAACTTTAGTTTTTTAACAAACAATAACAAACAAAAATGTTAGTTTAACTAACATTTTTGTTTGTTATTAAATAATAGTATTTACAGCAAAACCTGCTAATGTGACTACCTGCTGGTCCTTGCAAAATAATACATTTTGCAATGGAGATATATCTGCATACAGTGACCATATGTTGTGGCCATTGACCACTTTAGTCATGTCCCAAGGTAAGAAATCATTTTGGGTAAAGTGACCATTAAAAAAAAAAACATAAAAACAAAACCATTTTAAAGAATGTAATTCAATTTGTAGCAATTACATTGCAAATATAAAATATTTGAAACCATTGTACTTTGTAGATAAGGGGTTTAAACTAAATTTCCTATAATATATTGAAATCTTTATTTTAGAAGCTTGAGCAAAAGAAATGGCAATTTTAAAAATTTAAAATAATCTGTATCATAAATTGAAAATACCACTAGCAATGTGCTAGCATTGTGCATATTTTAGCAGCAGCATCGGAGGCAAATTTTAAAATTTCTGTTGATAGAGATTATGTTGGGTCACTGTTGAGGTTCCCTTTGTCTTTTTCCTTGGTCGAGTGTTTCATATTTTGGCTTTTTCTAGTAAAGTGAGCTATCTTCATGTGTTTTTTGCTAAGTATTAAGTTTCTATTTGTGTGGATTTTTAATTCTAAACTGAGATTCATTTTCTTCTGTTTTTTTTAATAACTCATTTACTTACCCCAATTAACTTTTAGAATGGCAAGGAAAGGATACAGAGCTAAATCTTCAATAGAAGTACATGATCCACTTTTTGGAAAGTCATCGTGAGAGATGAACAGCTGAGTTGAGTTAGTAAGAAGGGTGTAAATACCATCAAAAATATAGGAAGCTTAAGTATCTGAATAGGTTTCAAATTGAGTGAAGATATGAGCAGAAAGAAGGCAACTGAATTTGATGACAAATTTCTTAACTCTGAAGTGGTTTACTAAAATGAAGATATTATATGAAAACACAGCAAATTTATTAACAGATTGTGACCACTGAATCTGTTGATTTGGAAGATGTTTTTGGAAGTGTCCTAAAATAATTCAATAAAGGAAAGAAAGTTGTGAAGATAAAGGAAGTCTGTATCATAATGAATAAGAGAAGCCTTTACCTTTATTCCTCAAACAATTTCATGATATTTTGGGGAAAATAGTCTCTTTCTATGTGACTACTAGCTGTCTTGAGGTTCTTATGCCAATATATCAAGCAAAGAAAATTGTACCTGATAAAACTTTTAAAAAGCAAAATTCTAAAGCAATCCTGAGACACTCATCAGTATCTCACAAGATAATTGAATTTGTTGCATTGTTTATTCTCTGAGTTTTTGTTTAGAATACTGTATATTCAAATTGTTTTGTATTTTTTTTTCTGTATTTCATATTAAATTTTATGTAATCTTATTTCTATTAGGTCAGTCCATAAATTCGTGAGTATTTTATGACCTTGTTTTGCTGTTAAAAATGCCAGTCTAATGTGATACTTTTTACACTGAAGTGTTAAATTGGATCTCATTCATATAATACTGTTCAGAATTGGGAACATTTCAGTTGTTTATTTTCGTTAAAATGGAAGTAACAGATGAATATAAGAGACATGTTTTATACTTTTTATTTTTAAGTGATGAGAATGCTACAAATGCAGCCAAAAAATTAAATACTGTTCATAATCAAACTGTAATTAGTGTAAGGACTGCGCAGAAGTGGTTTGAAAGATTTAGAAATAATGATTTTAGTGTGGAGGATAAGGCTCGTACTGGAAGACCCGTTGACTTTGATGATGATGCTCTCTCTGCACTAGTTGAAGCAGAACCATCTTTAACAGTTGATGAAATTGCGGAACGTTTAAATTCATCCCATGGAACTGTTCATAGACATCTACAACAAATCGGAAAAGTTTCAAAGCTAGGAAAATGGATACCACATGAACTGTCAATAGCTAACTGACAACAACGTCAACTGCTCAACTCCAAAGCTTCAACTGGGAAATTTTACCTCATCCACCATATTTGCCAGATATTGCTCCCAGTGATTATCATCTTTTTCGGAGTTTGCAGAATTTTTTAAAAGGAAAAACTTTTGAGGATGAGAACAATGTAAAAAAGGCTATTTCTGAATATTTTGATTCAAAACCGAAATCATTTTACAAAGACGGGATTAAAAAGCTACCATCAAGATGGGAAGAAATTGTACAAAATAATGGTGAATACATTATACATTGAAATAAGATTTAATTAAAATTTTTTGTTGCTTTTTTTGTAGATAAAAATGCACACGAACTTATGGACTGACCTGATACTTAAGTGATTTCATTCAAGAACATGTACATCCTCTTTTTTCTTAAGGTGACCACTTTGAACTGGTTCCTTCAGTAGTCACATTAGCAGGTGTCACTGTATGTAATTTTTGCTTAACATTAGAGCATTTTATTTAAAAGTTTGTGTTTGTTCTTGATTAAAAATTCCAACTTCTGTATGTTCTGTTCAGTTTTGATCTGAAAATGAATGTTATTCCAAAAAGCATTTATTTTCAATAAATGATTGGGCTCCTGAAAGAGTTTTAAGTGTTTTTAGTCTTTTTGCTTTATATGTTTCTATTACTATTGTGTAATTATTAATTATGATTTAACTTAAAATAATCAGATAGTGTAAGATATTACAGTAAAATCTGTGTAAACTGGAATTGTAGGATATCAAATTATTTTTGCATTTTATTAATATTTTTTAAAAATAGTTAGTTAGTTTAATAGTAAAATAACTTTTATTATGTATATAAGAAAAATTTTATTACTAGATTTAATTCAAATTAATTGAAAGTGATTCCAAGTAAAGATGAATGTATTCAAATGCAGCAATTGAGAACTAAAAGGTTCTTGTTATTCCTGAAAAGTTGTGATATATATTTGAATACTAAAAGTTCTTGGATGTTATCCTTATGATTTCACAGGATGGCAAGAACAAAGAACTAGTATCCCTCTGTTGTTGGAAATTCAAATTGCATTACAATAATACAGAGACTAGTTACTCTGAGATCTGACTTCAAGAAGAATTTTAATGCTCTAATTGTTAATTTGAATCTCTGTAATTACGAATAATTTTAATCAACTTATTTACAAATACAGTAGAGCGTCGTTTATCCAAAAGTCGGTTATCCAAAAATTTCAGTTGGCAAATTTAAATTTTCGCTAGTGCTGTGGCACTGCAATCTTTGGCTATGTCTTGGGCTACTCAAATATTTTACGTTTTTGATACTAAATTAACTTCTGAAGTATAATTTTTTATTGTTTCTATATTTTTCAATATATTTATATTTATTTTGTTTGTACAAAATAAAGAAATAATTTTTAACGATACAATAGCCACGATTATTATTTTAAAAAGTTTACGTTAGGCTTAACATCGACGAAAATTCAATGCAAAGCGACACGCAATGGAGAAAATTTTCAGGATGGGATAGGTTAATGTATTTTTTCGTATATAATCTGTTATCCGAAAAATAAGTTATCCGAACAACCCCAGTCCCCAATTGATTCGGATAAACGATCTCTACTGTACTCAGTACTGATTAGTTACTAACTATTCTGTACAAGACAAATTAATAGCATGTTTTACCTAATTCTTATTGTTTTTAATAAGTTACATCCATTGCTTGTTCTCAAGAACTTAGTTCTCAGAAACTTGTTTGA